GGTGTGGGGGGTTGGGGGGATGGTTGGGTTCACAGGGTGTGTGTTCCTAATCAAAGGGAGAGTCTGAGGGACTCATGCTCCAGAGGAAGCCCATTTTGTAGGCGCAATTGCTCCCCAGTGAAGTAGGGCCTCCCTGCAGGCACTCCTTTCCCGCGGGGGACACAGCCGTGGAGCCCCAGCTGGGTGGCTGTTGGCCGCAGAGAACCGCATGGGGTAGTGGGAGGCATGCCCACAAGCCAGTGCTGGGCACATGCATGAGTCAGGTGAGTCATCCGCAGCCACTGCTGCGTGTTTACCTTTTGGATTACACTGTGGCATCTACTGAAGGAGAGTATAAAGGCTCTTTTCTCCCTAATTTAGTCATATATATCACTGCAGCGCTCTGGTGAGCATGCTCCATTTCTTGTCCAGGTCCGTACAGCTGTCATTTATTTTCAAAAGCCCAGTCAAAACAGCGCAGTATCTTGCTTATCTTTTTTGTAAAAACTAATAGCATTTTGAGTACAGTGCAAATTTTACTAGAATTTCACTACAAAAACACTAATGATGACCAAAATCACATTTACTTACGTTGGAGGATGATCATTCAGCAGATGTAGGTGTCAGACTCCTCAGATGGCATTGTAGCAGGCAGCATCTTGGAACGTGAAGGATCGTGCCTGCTTTTTGTAACTCTAGCAGACAGGATCTGACTGAATGAACAGGTTGAGATTTTGTGATGGCATGTCATTGTGGGCTTCAACGGACACCAGCTCTGAAAATGGATTTAATCTGGGTAAAACTCTACATGGTGGGAAGGCAGAAGGAGGTATCACTCATAGGATTTATTTCTGCTTTTTAGGAGGTCTGTCCAAAGTGGATGTGATTTCTAGGGCCACTCCTCATGCTGAAAACTAACTAGAATAGAGGTGATTAAACCCACAGGTTTTTCCTCAAGGGGATTATACCAATATTTGGATTTGGGTGTTTAGGTTTTTTCTTCTTGCCTGTTCTATATATTCCTGATAAAAGAATACCTGAAAAACAAAGCCGGCTTAGTATTTCACTTATATGCTACTGTTAGCTGAAGAGCTCTTGCTGTAAGACATGGATGAGAAATACACAAATTATAGGTGGTGGGTTTTTTCCTTTCCCCATTTCCCCATCTTTTGTTACAAATCACTGTTGGATGTGTTACTCTTCTTAGTCTTCCTTTAGCCTCTTTCTGGTGAGTGAATGTGAACTGAGGAGTGTGAATCTGAAGCACACAATCAAACCCATGGCTGGAGAGGTTCAAAATAAGGGGAACCTGCACATGTGATCTGATTCATAAAAAATGGCACTGGAGGATTTCTTTTGTTTCTGCCTATTTTACAAGCAATGCTGTCATTCTTTGGGAGGCTGTGCAGGAGAACACAGTGACATTAACAGTAAAAGAGCATGGCGATACTGATTTAAGTAAAAAAGCAATCCCTGTGTTGAGCTTTACCAAGTAGTACTAATTTATTTGAAATCTAGGCCACTCTTCTGTGCTTCTTTAGCGCCAGAGAGAAGGAAATGCGTGCAGGGCTGGAAGCAATAAGGTTGCTCTTTTGGCCTACTGCTTTTTAGCCAGAATTCATGCACCCCTTCTTCATACCTGTGCCTGCTCTTGCTAGGCAAGGTCTCCGTGGCAGTTGCTGCTCCAGGGGATGGATGTACTTGTGTGCACGAAAGGCAAAAAGAATAGACAATACGTTCACCATTTCCACTTAGGAAAAGAAAGAGAGACACCTGCTCCCCTGTCTTTGATGGAGTGTGCTAAATCTTCCTCTGCTCTGCACAAGCGCGAAGAGCAGCTATGGACCAAAGCATTGCATCTCATTGCCAGGAGCAGAACTGGGTGCTCCACTCTCTTGGAAGGACAAGCAGTTTCTCTGGCAGCGTGTCCACTTCTGGGCACTGCTGTTAGCAGCGGGTGTAGGCTTGGTAATGTAGGCTTGGGAATGCAGCAGGTGAAGGCCCCGTATCTCTGTCAGATCTTTGCCATGTTGCTTTAAGCAAGAGTAGTTCAGCAGTAAACAAATGTGCCTACCCAGCTGGTGGATGCAATATCTGATGGCTCTGTCTGTCCCAGGGGATGGTAGGGCATCTGTGGATGGAGGAGGGGGCTGGGAGACCAGGAGAAGGCAAGAGAGATAAATCAACAGCCTATTTTCTTGTATTGAGAGCTGAAATAACATAGCTGGGTGGAATAGATACTGTGGATGCCTCTTCCCACCTCATTTGCGATGCTCAGGCTGCACCTTGCTCTGCAAAATTACAGTAATACGAGTCACTTGCTTCTTTTTCAAACTTCATATTCCAACAACAAGCAGGAGTGTATTGTTTTAAGCATAATAAAATGATATTTATGTAATTTTAATTTATTTTTAATTCAGCATTGGGAATGCTGTCAGACCTAATTCTTTCCTGTTTCCATCTTTCAGACGAAGACAGGACCAATCAAGGCCAATCAAGGTGCTAACTCTAAGCGCTCAGCTTTAGTGTACTGCTACAACTGTTCCCAGAAAGGACATTTTGGATATGTAAGTCTTAGCAGTCTTTGCCTCCATGTTGACTATATCCTTGGGGTAGAAATTAGTCTCTGCCATGGTGTGTGGCTGGAGAAAGAGCTGGAAGAGCCAAGCAAATGCTATACAAAGGGTCGTTCTAATTAGATGCTGGTGATTTAGCAGCACTTCTGCAGTCAGTGGAGGCCAATGTATAAAGTGATCACACCCATCTAACTTACAGATATGGAGGAAAATTAAAGTTACTATCTCTCCTTGGCAGGTTTATTGATTTGTTTTTAAAATCCTAAATCAAAATGAGGCTGCCTGTTAGAGAGAATATTTATTGGAAAAAAGACAGTTCCTGAACAGGTTTTTTTTTTCCTTCCTTTGTTTCTTTCTTTTTTTAATTTGAGCTGTCCCATATGGCTCATGGGATGAAATATTAGTGCCTTACTGCCATGTTCAGCACCATGTCAGGTGAAAACACCACAATCAGCCCATCAACGTGAATACTCATTTTAGGAATTTTCCATTTCTGTCTGCTTTTGATAATCTTTTTAGTCTCCCTGCTAATGTTTAGCATGTTTTTCAGCTCCCTGTCGTGACAAGTGCAGCTCTCTACCTGCAAATATCAGTGTTAGTTCTTTTCTTTCATAGGATAAGTCCAGGAGCCGCAAGTATTCTAGAAAATGAATGTTACTCATGGGTTGGATCATAGAGTAATTTAGGTTGGAAGGGACCTTAAAGACCGTCTAGTTCTAACTCCCCTGCCATGGGCAGGGACACCTTCCACTAGACCAGGTTGCTCAAAGCCTCATCCAGCCTGGCCTTGAACACTTCCAGGGATGGGGCATCCACAGCTTCTCTGGGCAACCTGTTCCAGTTCCTCACCACCCACTCTGGGAAGAATTTCTTCCTGATGTCCAGTCTAAAGCTACCTGCTTTCGATTTAAACCCATTACCCCTAGTCCTGTACCTGGATGGGTTCAATTTATAGTTTCCTACAGCTTAGAGATAGCGAACTCCCAGCAAATATTTCCTGTGTCTCCTGCGTGCTCTGTGTGTTGACTCCTACAACAACTGGTGATGTATCATTAGAAGCTTGCTGCTCTTCTCAGCTAAATAGTTAATCCGTACGGGGAAG